TGTTTATTTCACCGAAGTGAGGGGGCAAAAGCGGATGCCCGGCGCTCTTCACCGGGTTGACTGTCCATTGGATGACAGTCTAAGGGAGATGGTGCTATGTACTCGTCGCTAAATTATTGTTATGAACTGGTCGAGAATTTAATAGTCCTGACGCAAGAAGGCGGAAATCAGAAGACCACTAGGTTTGCGATGATACTTCTATTGTCCAAACACAAGGAGACGAAAATAAATGGTCTCACACCAAAGTGGTAAGTAAGTAAAGTAGTTCACACAGAATGTGTGAACGAAATATATATATAGCAAAATATATATAGCAGACATGTCAAACAACCATATATGGATATATGTCACTAAGCAACGGACTGTCAACAAACACTCATATTATATATAATATAAATGGAATATACATTGTTAAAGCAGACAGGTTCATACAAGTGAAATGGTCACAGACTAAGCGAGCAAACAGAAAGAGAGACCAACATACACACACACATAAATATATATATGTGGATACATATCAGATGGCTAAACCCTGATTCCAAACCTCCAACGACTGGCGTATGAAGCTCACCGGAGTTCACCGGCAGTCGTATGGACAAAGGGCTTATTTGATGCCCTGGATGTCTGGCCCCATTCAAAAAGGCGTATGAACCGGACTCCGGTCATCGGCTACCAATGGATAGTGGACTCCCTACTCCACTCCTACTGCCTTATAGGTCACACTTGGTTGTGTAAAGGCTAGAGCTGTACTCTCAAACAAAAGGCCGAGCGATTCTGGGGACATCACTCGTACCCAATTCCCATGAAACTTCATCAACTCTCTTACAAACATTCGAGATGTTCATGAAGCCGGTTCATCCTCCCGTAGGAGATAGCCGAAGTAAAGTAAGTAAGTCTCTCTCTGTATGCATAAGTCTGGTCTGTGACGTTTGATTGCAATTGCTTCAGCAAATCTTAGTAGATTCGCTGTCCTTTGTATGTTTAATACTTTGAAGGATTTGGAAATCTCGACAAAATGACCCGTATCCATAAGGTGCCTTGTAATTGCAATTTGTAAATATCTGCTTCCTTTTAGGCGTAAGTTTCTTGGAATATGCTCTGAAAACCGGATAGAAGCCCTTCTTTCTGTCCTTCCAATGTACTTGCTGCCGCTATTATGTATATATAACTGTAGAGCCTGATGAGGAATTTATCGAAAACAGTATTCTTTGTTCAGTGACCATTCTTTTTGAAATATTTCTGTATAAAATGCCCAGGTTTCAGTCTCTAAACTATAAAAACTACATGTCTTGGATGTGTGTAACAAGGTTAAGAAGATATCGACATGAAATTATCCATAATAGTAATAAGCTCCCGCTAATTTATCAGATACAGGTACATGACGCTACTTATATTTCGTAATGTGAACCCTCCCAATTATGCAGTAATGCAACAGTATTTTAGATATGATTCTAAAGGTAGCTTTGTTTACCTGGATCTTATGTTGTGATTCTCTAGCTCGAAACGTATCGAAAACGAATGTAGGAATATTGAAGATGTGTTTGCGAATTTCGTTAGAAGTGGTTTGTAAGAATGCCTATTTTAATGGTAGGTGTTGACAAAGTGATGAAGTACACTGACCTTGTCCTTTAGTTCTGACTTAATCGCGTTTAAGAAAATGAAAATTTTGCTGGCACTACGAAAGTCGTTTATGATGTAAGGGAGAAGACTTCTGAGTACCTTTCATATATGGAGTTTTTCTCTAGTGATTTACTGTATTCCACCAAACACCAGGACCACATAGTTAACATCGTTGTCGATAGGCGCTTGACTTCATGCAATAAATTTGCTAAAGGGATTTTGTCTGACTTGGAGTATCCGCTTTATCCTGAGCTTTCACCTTGCATCTCCTCAAGTAGAACAAGAAGTAACTTCAGAAAACTGTATGCTCTCACGTCTAAGTATAAAAATTCTATGATACCATACTTGACACGTATTTTATGTGATGAAAATAGTGTCAGGCAAGAACTGACTAACCTTTTTTCATCTAGTAAATAAACAATTTCCTCCATCCCTCCTTATATACCTTCAAGTTTTACTTTTATTATTTCTATTATATCTATGATCCTGTTAATTCTTTGTTTTACTATCATAATTGTAAACACCAACTTATCTCCATGACGGCAGTAATCTTTGTTTTTCCCCTCACCATATCATGTAGAAAGAACATTATATTCAATATTTTTAAGCATGCTCGGATTTCTATACCGCATTGCCAATACTGTGTTAAAAAAGCCCACGGAAAATTTCGCTTGTATTATTATTATTACATTAGCTGTTATCATTATTATTATTATTTCCACTTTATATGCTGCTTGTTTTTCACATTCCCCCTATTGTAAATGTGGAAGATTTTCTGTGTGATTAATTTTATTTATAATTTGAGGAAATTAGGTGCAATATTGTGATTAATGCTGAAAATTCCATTCTGTATCACAAATACTGTTTTTGGAATAAAGTAAATCAATATTATTATTATTATTAAAAACTCTAAATTTTGCTTTCATTCGATTTTTGATGCCTTCCTTTCTTTAATTCATTTATTAATCACTGAGAATTGACGAAAGAGACTCCAAGTTCGTGAGACGGTTCGTGAATAGTGGTTCAGTATTCTCCGACATTTATATGCTGAAATCATTAGTCGTTTGAAGTTGTTTGCCCAGAACATATTTTTTCAGGTGTCAGGCTATTACTTATATTTATTATCTGGGAATTGAAGATACTACCCTTGTCTGAAGCATATAGAATGGGACTTGAACTTAGGACCTATTGGTTGAAAGCTTATTGTTTAAGCCATTGAGCGACATCTAAAAAAGCGTTATCTGCTAGGCAACTCTATATGCTTACTATGTGAGTGTAAATCAATTAGCGTGCAGTTTTCTAGATTTAAGCCGTTAAAACACTCAGGTATAATTTACATTTAAGAAAATTTTAAAGTGTTAGTTTGCAAAGGTTTGATTGGTTACAGGTTTGGTCATGAGTACATATTTGTTAGAGAACTTTTGAAAAATCAGGAAGTGCAGGATAGGTGTTTTGTCCTAGTCTGGGACACTTCGGCAATGCGCAGACATGACCTCACTGGGTGAACTTGTAGACCATTCAACTACTGGGACCCTAACTGACTCCCCGTGAATTGTAACCCCTACGACAGCCAGCCAGTGTCATCGCGCGAGTAACTGTTGTCTTGCTTGACTTAATGTGGACCCCGTTGGTCACGGCCTCCCACTAGAACTCCAGGTAGCATCCTGCATAGAACCAGTAACTAGCTGGTGTTAGCGCCCTATTGTACATCACAAATTGGCAGAAGTTAAAATGCATGAACCAATAGATCAGATCTCAATGGCTCAATGACCTACAAGCTCACTTTGCAACCAGATGCACATGGGTTTGAACTCCAGTGGGGTTATGTGTGTGCACTATCGAAGAGTTCCAAACTAGGACGAAACCGCTAACCATTACTCCCTGGGGGGTGGTGTTTACGATGGTTCTCTAACTAATGGTACTTTTAAAACAATTAGTTCCCTTTATGAATTTAGATAAAGCAATAAGAAGACGCAATTTGTCTGAATCGTGTAATGTATTTGCGCAACACATTTCGAACAATCTGATCCATTGCACACGGATTTGTCATAGAAATATATATGAAATTAATAAAGAGGTAAGAGTTGAGAAAAATAGACTTAGGTCAAGTTAAAAGGACATATTCAAGGTAAAAATAACAATGAAGACCACTAAACCAAACAGCAGAGGTAATAGTACATCTGCTATGGTATCAAAACAAAATTTACCAAGAAAGGTTTAGTGTGATGACAAATTGTTTTTGAACGCATAAAGGTGGCTTGAACTTTCTAAGTGCTAGGGCTTCTACAAAGTTTAGGATACGCCCCAAACACGTTTTATAGATAGGTTTAAAAGATCTGTTAACATCAATTTTATGATCTGTCTCTATAATATGTTTCGCAATGGAAGAGCTAGGTCTCCTGTTCTCGTCGTTAATAGGTTCTGATGATTCCATTTGTTTCTGGAGCCATTTTGGAATATGCTCTGAAGCCCTTACTTGTAGAGATCGATGAGTCCTCCCTATGTATGTGTGTCCACACGTACATTCAAATTGGTAAATACAGTGGGATATGACGTCATTTTTCCCATGTTCGAAGGGCTTAGATAGATATAATGGCTTTACATTCTCTATTATTATTATGATATTAGCTGTATAAAAAGTCTTTTTAACAGCAGCGTTCAGCCTTTGTCTAGTTATCAAGCCGCTTTGATGCCCCATATAGGGTAGCTTTGATGTACACGTCTTTCTTAGGGGTGAGTTGGAGAGTGGGTCTTGGTCTTCCACTGACTACTTTATATCTCCTGATGAACTTGTCTGGATAATTGTTATCAACCAGACAGAGTTTTTGTCAACTTTCTTTCTTCCCCATCAAGTGTATCTTCAGTGCATATTCGTTGGATTCTACTGAAGAGGCACCTCACTCACTAAGGCTCTTTTGTACCGAACAGGGCAGAAACTGTAGTAATTAAGATACTGACTGCCCTGTCCAGGTAGGTTTCCTATTAAAAGATCTTTTTATTGACCCATCAAGCCGTCGACTAAGCAATATGTCTAGGAAAGATAAACAATTATCTTCCTCTTCTACAGATGTAAGTGATATGCTATTCTGAACTTCATTGTTCATCTGCAGTGTTTATCATTCTCTTAAATTACAATCTTCATTTTCAGTTTTTATTGAGCAGTTAATTACAATCCTTTTTTTAAAAATCTTATTTATTCAACTTGAAAAATAAAATTTTTGATAAAATGTCAAGAAATTAGATGGCAAAAATAAAATTGGTTATGATAAGTTGAAGTAGATAGATAGATATTAATATCTTTTATGCTTTTTATTTTATATTATTCTAATGTCAAATAACACAGAAACACGATAATCCCATTTCTCCTTTTTTTGGTTTCCTTATGCGTTGCTTGTTCGTCTTTTACTCCATAAATATGCACGTTGTTCATCATAGTGTTGAGTTTTTTCTTTTAATGCTTTTTCACATGGTCCTAGTAATCTATGAAAACTATCCACGTCTAAAACAGCTAAACATGTTCTCTCTAAGGCATAAACGGAGGCTGCACGTGGTTTTGTTGTCAATAAGGCTAATTCACCAAAATAATCATTCTCTTTTAATTGACATAATTCAATTTCTTCGCCTTCCTGTTCTTGTTCTTGTTGTTCGTGGTGTTGGTGTTCTTCCTTCTCGTCGACATTTCCATTACCCATAATTCTACTAATCACTTTCACTGAACCAGATATTATAAAATACATTTCATAGCCTAATTGACCTTGTAAAAAAATGGCTTCGCCTTCTTCAACAATACGTGTTTGTAAAGTGTCTGCCACATTCAAACGTTCATAAGGTGTTAAATAACTTAAAATATCAACTTTTTCTAACAATGATTCATATAATTTTCTTTTTTTAAATGCTTTTGCTGTTATTATGGCATGAAATGTATCTCTAGTGATTGCCCATAATGTACCTTTTGTAATTGCTCTGACTGTAGCTGCTCTTGGTGTATTATATAGCAGGGCTAATTCACCAAATGATCCTTTACCTTTATATTCAGCTATTTTTTGCATTTGATTATCTTTCATTGTATATATTTCATAATCTCCATCTTCTATTATATAAAAATTATCACCATCTTCACCAAATTTAATAACTTCTTCACCTGGTTCAACTTTACGCTCAAACATTGCATTAATTAATTCGATATGATCATCGCGATCAAGACATCGAAGTAAATGGATCTCGTGTACAACTTGCATAAGTTTTTCTTTTTGTTGATCACTTTTTGGATGAACAACTATTTCATGATTATATGTCTTCTCTGGATCTATACTTACACCACGAACACCTTGACGTCGTTTCACATAACTTTCACGATCCATTATAGATTCATCAGAAAAATAGCCTAAAATAAAATATTAGAAAATGTCTTTTTGATTTATATATATATGTATATAATTATAAATACTATTGTCTCCTTTAGTTCATACAGGAACGTAGGGCTGTAGCCGCACGTCTCCACTGCGTTTGGTTCTCCGCCAACATTTTCATCTCCTCTTCGCATGACCTGCTCCATATCACCTTCGCACTGACAACCAACTCGCCGCTTCACATTCGGTTTCCACTCGAGCGATGGTCTAACGTGTGATGTCACTCAATTGGTAGTTTTCTGAGAGTGTGGGCAATCCACCTGCATTTCTTCCTTCATATTTATTGCACAATTCTTTCCTGTTGGGTTGATCTGTTCCGAGAGATCCCTGTTGCTGATCTTTTCCGGCCATCTGACCCTGAGTAGTATTGAGCGAAGACAGCTGTTGATGAGGGTTTGTTGTTTGGTCGAAGTGCCCTTCGTGACGTGGCGCAGATTCTCTGATCATTATAGTAGCAGTGCATTGGTGATACAGCGGTTTGGACGTTCGCCGACCATAGACATGGTCCAGGGCTCGATCCCCGGCCACCAACGCACTGCTTTACTTCGCTAAGCCAGAAATAATGCTGGTAAAGAGGAAAGGTTGGGAATGAGGCTATCAACCCCATCCTGTAAAATTAAACACTGTTAAAGAAACTTCAAGCCACTAGCTTGAAGCCCTATGTTCCACTGAGAACGAGAAGGAAAAAATTCAGAAAACTATGGTAATAAACTTCATACTGGAGTTGAAAATTCGCATCTTATTTTTCGTGTTGAGTGCTGTTGACCTACACACAGACTTTAGAGTAATGAAAGCTTGTCTTGCTTTTCCGATCCTCGCTACTTTTATATCCTCGTCAGTTCCATCCACCTGTAGCTGAAACGGTGCTTCCGAGGTAGGTAGGTAGGTAAAGGAGGTTGCTTCTTTCAGATTTTCCCAATTATGCTGATTGTTGTCTCTTGTTGTTTCTGTTGCTTTTGGTCAGGAATCTTCATCACCTCTTTTTTCTCTATGTTCACCTGAAGTCCTATCTTTGATGCCTATATATATATATATATATATATATATATATATATATATATATATATAATAGAGAAGATTTGTAGCTCAGGTGGATGACTTTGATGTTGTTGTGTTCTCCGAGCTGAGTACTTTAATTAAGAATCTTTCATTATCTTTCTAGACAACTTCTCAAGAGTTAAATTATCTATAAAGTCAAAGAAAGCCTCCAGTGTAGATGATACAACAATACTACTGTCATCCATCTGCGCCATAAATCTTCTAAATCGATAAATGATTTTGGTAACAATAAAACTTATTTACTTATTGATTATTGTTATCATAACTTGTATTTTTAATTGCCTACCTTCAACAACAGAGACGTCAGGGTCTGGTACCTCTTCGATGTCTCCCTTCACTTCAACTTCTTCATCTAGTTTATATTATTATAATAATAAAGACAATTCGATAGTTAGAGGCCATTAAACTCAAAAAACATTTTAACAAATGAAGACATGATAAATATAACTATGGAAGGAAATACGTGTTCTTTTCGTTATATTACTTAACATTAGAGGTATATTTCGGTGCATGTAGCTAGCTGTGTTTATAGTTAGTGAATATGATACTTCTTTTCCCATGATTCATACAATCATCAATTGAAGAATTCATGCCTTCGTCTTAGTTTATTTAACAGCCACATCATTTTTACAGCCTAATAATATGAATGATGACTTGCAAGTCAGATGTACGCAAGACAGCACCAACAATAAGGAATCTAAATCAACAGTAGTAATTCCATACAAGGAAGGAACCTCGGGAACCACCTTACGCAGAATTCTTAACAAGGCATGGGATAAAAGTGGTTGGCATTCAAACCACTCATTAAATCAATTAGAAACAAGCTTTGTCGGTTAAAGGATCAGTCCTGTGGAGCCTTTAAAACAAAACAATTTAGTTTATCTAATTCCCTGACTGCAATGATTGTCAGGTCAAATACATAGGTCAAACTAGTAGAACAGCGGCAGTCAGAGTAGCCGAACATAAAAATCTAGCAAAATCTAGATTAGTTGACCCGAGTAAGATAAGAAATCTAGAGAATAGTTCAGCTATAGCACTACACTACTTGCAGTTACACACAACCATAAGATAGGATGGATGGGATAAGATGACAGTTTTAAAATCTGATGTCACAGGGTACTGGGAGAGATTGATAACAGAAACTTTGTTTATCGAATCAACTGAGAACACTTGCAGTAGGAATGATTCAACACCTGTCCCAGATATCTGGAAAATTCTACTACCCCTACAACAAATAGGAGAGGACAAAGAAAGCTATAAAACTCAAGTTTCAAAGTTGTGTGATTACAATCGATATGATTATGAACAATAAACGTCATCCAGTAAATAATACTGTTTCTTCACTGTGTGATACATCTAATAAACAAACTAATATGGAATTACCTACTACCACAGTGGCCAAGTTTTACGCATATATTAATTTTCACAACCTAGTTTTACTCTACCCAGCGTTGCTTCTTCAGAAATACAATAGTTTAATCTAGTTCTTATAGATGCTGGGTTCCAGTCTCAAAGAGAACAGGATCACTCACTGGGTTGATAGATATACTGAGTTGATGAGTAACAAATAGGCCAGGATGTACACTTCAGAGTCTACCGCTACTCTCTGCAAAACCTCTTAATATTATGTGAATTTTATAACTCACTTCATAATATGTGTATATTCACTTTTCAGCTTTCGATTTGAAATTCACACGTTTAATTCTTCTCCATTATACTTTCTAGTCACGTTAGACAACAACCAATAAAGCACTAACACTTTATTACAACATATTTGATGACAGCATTATTTCATTCAATGCAGCTACAATATATATTTTAGCGATCAACGAACCCATATTCGAGTATAATTAAGTTTGGAGTGTTTTACTCATGCCCTTCACTTTCGAACAAGTCCAGTTGCTGTTACAACAACAACAATAACAGAAGTGGTATGAAGACTTCCAAGTGAATCTGATAGAAGTGCTTACGGGTGAATTATCTTTGCAGTCGTCTAGTCCTCCAAATAATGAGATTATTATTATTATTTCCTTTAATTCCTAAAGGAACATAGGGCTTCAGATGCGCGTCTCCATTGCCTTCGGATTTCTGCCAACTTTTTGACCCCGCTCCAAGTCTGCCCACATGCTTTCAACTTCTCTTCTCATGACCTCCTCCAAATCACCCTCACAACGACGACCAACTCGCCACTTCCAGTTTAGGTCCCACTTGAGCAATGGCTTGTCTAGTGATGTCACTTGCTGGTTTCCTCAGAATATGTGCGTTGGTGGCACAGTGGTTAGGACTCTCGCCGACTATGCACATGGTCCGGGGTTCGAGCTCACGCCGGCGCACACCTGATATCTATGGTCGGCCTGCAAAATTTGGGCTACCGATATCCATGCTGAAAATTCCATACATGTACCAAAAATACAGTGTGGAATCAAGCTGTAAATAAAAAAAATGGATTGCCCTAATAGATTTATCAAGAGATTTATCAAGAGATCCATCTCCATTTCTTCCTGCCTATTTGTTTCACAATCGGTTCCTGCTCGGTTGGTTCGCTCATTGCCAGAGATACATGTTGCTGATCTTTTCTGGCCGGCCATGTGATCTTTAGTATTGGACGAAGACAGCTGTTAATGAAGGTCTGTAGTTTGTTTGATGTGCTCTTTATGACTCGCTAGCCAAGTCTCTGATCCGTATAGTAGCACTGACTTTACATTGGAGTTGAAAATCCGGATCTTATTTTTGATGCTGAGTGCTGTTGACCTCTACACAGACTTTAGAGTAATGAAAGCTTGTCTTGCTTTTCCGATCCTCGCTACTTTTATATCCTCGTCAGTTTCATCCGCCTGTAGTTGAAACGATGCTTCCCAGGTAGGTAGGTAAAGGAGGTTGTTTCTTCCAGGTTCCTCCCATTTACGCTGGCTGATTGTTGTCTATTGTTGTTTCTGTTGCTGCTGGCCAGGATTACTTATTCTATTATTTAGTCAGTTACAGAAGTGTAGAACAATTTATCAGTTGGTGTATTATTTGCACAAAGTTGTCTTCCATTGGATGCATGAAAATTAATGTTGCAACTCAGATTGAGATTCAGGATGCCAGTAATCCATCAAAATCTAATGAAGACACTCTTTGTGCACAGCCAGGAGGTGTAACCAGTTCAAGCTCAAAGATTTTTACGCCAGTGGAGAAGAAGAAATTTTTCCTCGTTTCCACTACTTGCCATGTCGCTAAAAATGTTTCTGGAGATGTTTTGGGCCTAGTTAGTGAAATTTCTTTTGATGTTCAATTCATTTCAAAGAATTTTTTGCTCTGTTACCAATCGTCACAATTTGGATTTGTTGGGAGTAAACTGGTTTGGCAAACTATCTTTTTGGATATACTTTCTCATGACACAGATTTTGATGAAAGGACAAAAATTCTTTGTTTAACTTTTGGGGGAAATGCATCAGTATTCAGTACTCCCTATAAATGTTTGAATCTGACCAAGGAACAGTGTGGTGACTTCCATTCTTTTACCGGTAAATTTGACCGTACACCGACCAAGGATCCTACACTTTTTCGTTGGGGGGTGGGGGTATCACACAGAGAGTACCAGATACCTAAACATATCTTTTAGTGCTCCTCCAATTGAAAATCTACTAGAAAATGAAGGTGTTAAGATAGACAGTGTGACGCTGTTAGCTTTAAATTCATGATTGATGCAATCAACCAGATATTGATAATTTAAGGTGTAAATTTACGCGGATATGTAAACAACATATTTACTCTGTATTGGGAAAGAAGTAGTTATTATCTCAGCTATCTTACTTATATCTGTGATATGTAGTCACATGATGTGTGTTTTGGTGTTGACAGTCTGTTATATTTTGCTATGTGTGTATGGACCCATTATAACTGACAATATGCTTTTGTCTGTCCATTAACTAAATAAACAACGTATGACCTTGTTATCACATGACATTACAACCAATCAGAATCCAATGATGGTCTTATTGGTTCATGTGCATTAGTCATTTTCATATATACTTTTACATTGTACGCTTTTATACACACTTGTTCACTTCTTTCGTACACAACGTACCCTTCCACTCTCACACTTGTGTGACAGTCATTATTTTTCCTTGTTTGAAAAATACAAGTATCATCGTGAGCAAGTCGGTCTTCTGATTTTCCTCTTTCCGCGTCAGGACTATTAACCACTCAGCAGTACATAACAATCTGACTCCTGCATCTATTAGAGTGTGGGGGAATATTCTCAAGTGGTCAGTTGGCTACAGTGTCGTGACTGGATACTCATTATAGTCAAGTTAGACAACAATCAACGAAAACACTAACACTCCGTCACAACATTCTCTTATTTTGTAAGATTGGGATATTTAATTTTAAAATCCAAATGAATCAGAACTCTGTACTTCAGAGTTGATGTCTAAATTCGTATCAAAATAAAATTATGTACTCAAAAGAAGAATAATTCGGGGGAACAATTGTGATTTCGATCAAATATTCTTATTCTTCTTACTCTTTAAGATCTACAGTTAGAAGTCTGTTATTGTTAGCATACAACATCCAGTCAATACAAATCAAAATCATATCAGAAACTCCGTCAGCCTACAAATACAAGATACATTTAAGAATTAGTTTGTAGGGATTGTAGTTATTTCGGGCTAGACCATGGATTGATATCAGTTAGACAAGCATTGGAAACCAGGAAGTACTGGACAGCTGTTTCATCCTAGTTTGGGATTCATTGGCAGTACGCATTCACTGCCGGGCTTCAAATCCAGGACCTTCCAGTTACATTAAGCCATTGGGAGTCGATCCAGTGGCCCATGAATTCTAATTTTTATCAATTCGAGATTTAGCGCTAGCACTAACCAATGTCATCGGTGGGAAACCCATCCTCATTACTGACTGGATGGATCCTACTGGTCACGACTTCTCACTACAACTTCAGGCAACTTCGTCCTACAACCGGTCACTAGCGAACACCAGATGCTAGGTAGAAGTTATAATTCATGGGCTGGCCATTGAGTCGGGTCCCACTGGTTGAGTGGTATACGAGCTTGCTTTTTAACCGGAAGGTCCTGGATTCGAACCCTTGCAGTGGGTGCGTACTGCGGATGAATCCTAAACTAAGATGAAACAGCTGTTGAGTACCTCCTGTTTTTCAATACTTCTGTAACCGATATCAATCCATACTCTAACCTAAAAGATACATTTAGCTTCTTCAACAACTTATCATATTTTTTCAACTAATTTTCAGTAAACTATGATTACCATATTAATCTATGCATTCCTTGTGTACACTTTTGTTGACCTCATAAAATGGATACAAATGTGAATACAATTTTCATCGAATTCTAAGCGGTAATAAGAACAAATGAAATTACCTAAATCAATTAACTCTAAAGAGCCAGATACCCAAAGTCATTCAATCCAAAGTATATCATGCAGATGGGTGGTAAATTTGACTTTTACACTGCCCTTAAAGCCATATATAAAATAGATTCAAGTCTTACACTTGAATTTATTGAAATCTCAGCTCTGAAGAGCCCAAATAATAATGATTCAGCACTCTATTTTTCGTAAACAGACATGGGGTGGACAATGTCTTCATTTTACCAGTTTTGTTCCTATCCAGTATAAACCTTCCCTAGTGAAATGCTTGTTCTCAAGGGCCCGAAAAATATGCACGAGTGACACACTGATGGATAAGCTTCGACATGTACATTCAGTTTTATTAGCTAATGGTTATCCGGAGAGCTTCATCAACTATCACGGTAAGGATAGACCACATCTTGAAAAGACAGCTTCTGTACCAAAGAAAGCTATCTTTATTAACCTACCATTCAAGGGCGACCAGATTATGCAGTTGACAGCTAGCTCAAAGACTTCAGTCAGTCATCAAAAGCGCATTCTACACCGCCATATCTCCTGTTCCCACTTGCCGAACATTTTCAATCCCTGTTCCTGCGATTAAAGGACGAAATTCTCTGGACTCTGCTTGAAACTGTATCTACAAGTTCACCTGCAGCTGCGGTGACACACACCTATATAAGTAGAACCAACAGAATGTTCCAATGTCGTCGGAAAGAACATGTTCCAAAATGGCTAGTAAATCATATCAAAAATCCTAACGCAATTAATCTTAATAGAAATCCAGCATCATCATCCATTGCAAAACACTTATTAATGTCTGGTCACAAAGTCAATATTAATGACTGTTTCACAATTATTTCATCACATAACTCTAATTCAAGGTTGGTTATTGAAGGTGATGGAAGCACTTTTGATGATTAATCACATGCAGCCTAAACTGTGTGTACAAAAATCAATAAACTTCAGCCCTAGCCTACCAAGAACAACATGACCTATCCAAATATGATTGGTCATTAGTACGTATGTACCTTTGTTTTTATTTAACTGAGTAATTGTTATGAACTTTATTTTATTATTGTTAACCATGTTAGTTGTAAAGCGGTTGTAAAGAAACTACGAAATGATGCCATCATCTCGCGAAATTTGTCTTCTTAATGCCTTATTCAAATAATATTTGTTGAACATACTAAAAGATTATTTGTAAATACTCTGATTCTGGCTTAGTTATCTAATTTTTTTTAAATGGCAAATATTTAACACAATATTGCTTCTCACTTTTGTTCTTTCTTCACAGTGTTCAAAACAGAACATATCTCTCTCTAGCTTCTTGACACATATAAATTCACAAGTTGAGGGAATAAAATTCACATTTGAATCAGAAAATGAACAAGGAGAATTAGCTATGTTAGATTGTTAAAATAAAATGAATAGATGAAGGCAAAATACACAGTATTGTCTATAAAAATCCAACGCATTCTAACAGATATTTAGACTTTAATTCGTCTCAACCGTTGACTATTAAGGCAGGCTTAGTTAAGTGTCTAACAAACCAAGCAGTAGCACAAGAAAAGACCTAAATGACGAAGTAAACCAGAGAGAAGAAGCGTTGGTATCAAATAACTATCCTATAAACTTTTCTTAGGAAGATCAGTAAAGGACAAAAACAAAATAAAAAATAATTGTGGAACTAGTAATGATAACATAAATAAGAGTGAATATAAGTCATCCACTGTTATACCATGTAGGGAGGGAACATCTGAGACCCTACGTAGGATTCCTAATAAAGCGGGAATCAGGGTCGCATTTAAACCTACAAACTCACTCCTGTAGGAAAAGCTCTGTAGGCTAAATGACCCGGTGGATCTAATTAAACAAAATAATATAATTTACAAAATATCCTCCAATGACTGTGGGTAAGGTCAACTACATAGATCAAACTAGTAGGTCAGGGGTAGTCAGATTGTTGGAACAGAAGAATTTAGCTAAGGTAAGAATGGTTGACCCCGAGAAGATGAGTAATTTCGAAAATAGCTCAGCAATTACACTTCACACATTAACACAAAACCACACAATAGGGTGGGAGAGGGTCAAAATTCTAAAAAGTAACCTAAATAGGTGGAGAGAGAGGTTGATTACTGAATCCTTGTTCATCGAGTCTACACCCAACACAACACATGCAACAGAAATGACTCAATGCAAATACCAGAAATATCGAAGATATAATTACCGCCGGTCAAATCAGAAGAGGACAATAAATAATCATTAAATTCTATTTCTACTCAACCACATCACAACATTCCAACAAGTTACTTATTGTGACTATAAAATCCCTCGTCTTATTTCCCAACTGATTGTAGTTGATCAATAGCAATCGTATTATTATTTCTGAAAGTACATTATCCTATATTAATTTTTATTCCAATATTTAATCGACTCCACACGATTATATAAATGAAAGAAAAAAGTTGTGTGGGTAGTGCCTTGATATGATTATGAGCAATAGTTTGTGTTCGAAACGTGGTCATCAGTTAATATTACTGTAGAACACTGTGATTTATCAAAATAAAAATAAAGTCTTATCCATGATGGAGTTATACTCTACCACAGTGTCCAAGTTTTATACTTATATCAATTTGTTGTTTCTTCTTACGCTTTGTTCATCATTTTCCCATCTAAATAAACTTTTGGACCTTTACTGGTTTAGTTTTAATTTTTTTATACTCTGTTAACTTTCATATAAATGCCTAAAATATATGGCACAAATGTAGTACACATTTCAGATAAATTATGTGTTCTTATCATTTCGTCAACTGCTATTTCTACTGGCTTACCTTCATTAATGGGAACGTTGGACACTGGTGTCTCCTCGACATTTTGATAATCGTTAACATCTTGTTTACCTTCTTCATCTGGTTTATACAAAAAATAATATGATAAACAATGTACTCAGGTATTCATACAAGATGTATGTCTATGCGTCAACACAGACACACAGGTCAGTTTTGACAGCATATATGAATAATGAAACAGACTAGTATTCAGATTACAGGATTTGGGGGAATTTTTCGATTAATTTCAAACATTCGATTGACATCAAAGTAAGAGTTCAGGGGCTTTTGAGTTCTAACCCAATTGGATAAATGGTGAAAGAGCTTGGTCTCGTAACCTGATGATCTCAGGTCCAATCCCTAGCTGTGAGATCATGGACTAAGCCTATTGAAGAGTCCTGAAATAAGACGAAACGGCTATCCAGTGTTCCCTGGTTTTCAATGATCTCTCAAAATAATGTTGGTTCATGACAAAAATGTAACGACTGAAACAGTTTAAGGCAAGAATCCAATGAAAAATATTCTAACAATAGTTTTCTAACTTATGTCAGCTCATGATGAAATCGTCCAACCAATCAAACAAAAATGCCCTACAAACTAATTGACTTGATGCTCACTAGTGACTGGTCGTATTCAGGTACTTACTTGGGGTTGTAGTGGGAAGCCGTGACTAGTAGGGTACAGCGGGTTGGGTGTGAGGACAAATACTCGCCGAAGGCATTGGCTGAGGCGGCGCTATGTAGTGAATTGGCAGAAGTTGGTATTCATGGGCTGGCCATTGGATCGAGTCCCAGTCGCTTAATGGTATACGAGCTCGCCTTGTAACCAGAAGGTCCTGGGTGCGTACTAATGAAGGGTCCCAAACTAGGACGAAACAGTTATTTTTTTATTTTTTTATTTATTTTTAATTACAGCTTGATTCCACACTGTATTTTTGGTACAGTATGGAATTTTCAGCGTGGATATCGGTAGCCCAAATTTCGCAGGCCGACCGTAGATATCAGGTGTGCGTCGGCGTGTGCTCGAACTCCGGACCATGTGCATGGTTGGCGAGAGTCCTAACCACTGTGTGCAGTACTCGATGATGGTTTTCCACTGGTTCTCTAACTGATGTCAGCTCATGATAAAATCCTCCAACCAATAAAATTATATGTTGATCAATGACTAAAATAAGATATGTCATGTTGGAATAAATTTATTCACAACCAAATAACTCCAAAATGATTGATAATTAGCGATCTGATATGTAGACAAACTATTTTTGTATGATAATTTCGAGGTTACATCATTCGTGCTGATGATAAGCTTATATAGATCACTGCCTAATCAATAAATTCACCAAATAACATCTGCTTAAACCAATTAATCAGTATTATTCATGAAATTATTAGAAGTGAACAGAAATAAAAATTTTCAGCACAGGACTTTGAAGAAAAGTACAGATAGTTGTAGACCTTGACGTGGTGGTTGAGCTTCCATCCAACAACTACTCAATAAGCTGTGTCGGCTGGAACAAATGCTCCTGTAGACAATGCTTGATAGGAAGATCAGTAAGATAGCTGTTACGTTATCGTAGTGTAAGCCGTTTACATTCTTTTGGGGTTCAATGTCGAAGTCGTACCGCAGCAGAATACACATACAATAGTAGGGAGGTGTTAACTTTAGTGAGACATCTGCGCTACCTCTCACTGAAAAGAAACTGAGTTTTAAAAAATGACCCCAAAACTTTTGCATCTCGACTTACCCTTCAGTGTCCTACAGCCTGCGGTAAGATCTGTCCACAACAACAACTTTAAAGAGGCTATATGTAACCGGATTCAGCCATTCTCCCCGGGCTCTCTTGTCACGTCATGTATATTTCAGACACTTCATAAAATTACTAATCATTTCTTAGAATGATTAAAAGGTGCTTGAACAGATTGTTCTTGTTGTGTTACTAACTTTTAGAGTTAATAAATGATAATAATGATAAATTCGGAATTCTAATGTGTTTATCAATGTTGTGAGCCCAAATTTCCCAGTGGTAATTTCTCTGACTGAGGCACTGGGTAAATCTCAGAAGGAACATGAGTGTATGCATCGATGGTTCAGCCCCAGACTGCTCTCTATCCAAACATTTTGTCCAAGGTTCGATTCCCGATCCCACGGACTCCTAAACCTCGCCAAGCCTGCAGTAAGACCGGTAAACAGGGAAGGTTCGGGATGAGGTTAGAAACCCCACCCCATGAAAATAAATAAAAACCAGTGTTACCAAGGCTTCACAGCTTTGGCCTGAAGCCCTGTGTTCCAATAGGGACGTAAATAAATAGAGTAGAGAAGAAACAACGATTGTTGTAGCCGAATTCCACCAGAAATAGGTGGTCGTGGATTGGAATTGAAAGTTTTCACTAGTCAAAATGTTTCCTCAGATAAATGACATACTCTATTAATAAATGTGGTTCATCGAAAAACATTGTTTCTAAGCTATATTTTACTTTTTTTAAGTGAATACCTGAACAAAGTTCAGCAACGAAAACAGGAATGCTAATGTACCGCGTAATTTCATCAAACGGTATATTAGATAATTTGACTGACTGAATTTTCACTACAGAAATTTGCACAAAATTCGTTGAACCATTCATAAAGATAGAAGAGAGAAAATAAATACTATGGAACTATAACAAGCAGATATATAAAAGAAATAATTTCATGGATAATATCGAGGATTTATCAGATTTTAGAGTTCATAAAGAGTTGGTATATCTACGCTGGTGAGAACGATTTTCATCCATATCACCCACAGTCTCCAATCTTTGGCTGCTAGAATTTTGAGTACCTTAGATAGGGAATCTATATCACCCTAGGTGACTCAAACCAACAGTTAGATACTTCATACATTTATGATATGTCGGCTGTCGATAGGAGAATATATTCTAAGCGAAAATTTCTATCAATGGATTATGTTTATATTTTCATTAGCTGCTTTCACTGTTCAGCTCCCTTAAATAGTATCTAGGCAGAGTGAAAATTAGTTAGTAATGTTTGATAGGTTGTAATTTCCAGTCCAGGATCTCCCTTGTTTTCTCCCTCTTCAATACTATTTCTATTCTCTTTATTGATAATTTAGGAGAGAACAACTGTTATTTAACACCAAGCCCAGACCAAATTTATTTTGTAAATTTAAAAATAGATTCCAAAATGGTCGATTTACCTTTGAGGTGCACAGACAACTGACTTGTAACCTCCATACTTACGGTCTGCAATTCCTAATACGTATAAATCTAAGTCAGACAGAGCTTTCCACCAGCTTCCCTTTATTTATTTTCTGAGAATTTTCGAATTTTATCCGCTGAAATCAGTACATATACCTCCCTATCGTTATTTAAGTGGCTCATGTTTTACAGCTGTTTCTGAGAAATTGTATTCTGAGTAATAAAATAACTCCAGTAATAATATGTGAATTACAATCCTTTCACCTATCCGGTTTCACAGGAAACCGGAAAACTTGACAACTGTTCACAATATACTCACCTTCAAGTTGTGCAACATCTGCTTTTAGCTCACTTTCATAATTTCGATTGGCATCATCTTTATTGGCTTCTTCAGTTTTATATAAGGTGGAGATGTTAGGCAGACGTTGTGCAACAGTAAAGAAGATTAAAAATTAAGATGAACAAGGTCAGTGTGAAATATTTCGTACATTGATATTTATTAACCATCTCCATTAAAATGAAAAATGCAATATTTTTGGTGCATTGTGATCCTGAATCTTACCTTTCCTGATCATCAACATCTTGTAACAAATTATTATTATTTAATGTCCAAGACGTTACAGAATTATATTTTGTTTGAGTAAAATTAGCAAGAAAACAGAAATTAAACTAGTCATTATTTATCTAACGGGAATTTCAGAACATCTATCAATGTAAGATATAGAATTGAAGGTATTCTTCAAACATCAATACTGTTAGCTTATATTAAGCCACAAAAATTTCCTAAATTTAACTCTCTAGTTTGTGTAGTTGAGTTATAGCTGGTGGAATGTAATATGATTAGTGTGCAGATAAGTTTAATAACCCTGGTGCAGATGTGGTGTCAAAGGCTTACTCAGTATTATAGATCTGTATATACGTCATAAGTCTGATGAATAAAACATTTCCAGGTATTACATGCGCAGTATTCAGATTGACATTGCCAATGAAGTTTAAAACTTAAATCAAATATCTTGCTGACAGGGTTTAGATAAACTTATGATTTCTCCGCATTCGCTCCTTGTTGTTTGAGGACGGTTCAGGAATGCTTACAGGTCCATCAGAAACTAAAAATTATAATCAAAAGAAGAAAATGCATAGAGTGTATCACACTAACAGAAGTCATTAGACGGACAATACAGATAGAGCCATCAGTATCATCCGTTTTATTCCCTAGAACTCGTCATACATGATGGGCAAAAAGTGCACAGACACAATTTTAATGAGCGAAAATCATTTCAGTAAATCATTAAACACTTCTTCAAACACTCTAGGATATCTTAATAAAGTCAAGTCTAGTGGTGTACACGTTCATTCGAATAGACAAATCAAAAATTTACCTAGACTTAGTCTTATCTCAAAAATAGTGCTACAGTAAAGTTTATATCTTAATATTGTGCTTACCAACTGCCTCGTTAACATTATACTGGAACCTTTCGTCTAGTCTTCGCGTTAAGTTTTCTATACAGTACACAAGGATGTCTTCAGGCTGAGCTTTCAACACATCAAAAGTCAGAGATTCCAGAAGTTCTTTAAGTCCATCTGGTATTTTGGATTTTCTGCCTTTACTTTTTCTCTGTTCCATTATTATGCAGTGAAGTAGTTCATTTTGAAAACATATAACGTGATACGTTCTCCCGCTGCCAAGTTCAAGGTTCCCAATACCTTCCTACGATCAGTGTAAACTAAATTGGTTTTATGTACTCCCTTCTTGACTTTATGGCAAAATTTTCCGATATTCACCTAATATTTGTATATTGTGTTTTGCATCTTGACTACTGCAACTTAGGTTAACTCCAAGGGGAGTCGTGTGGGTATTGGTTCCAATATCCAACGTGGATTTTACGAACTAGTATAAGCCAATTTGATTTGTTTGTGCTCGCTTCTGGTCTTCGACAGACTTCTGTGTAGTTCATCCCGCCACTCGACTGTCTTAGCTTTGGTTGAATCCAAAAGGAGTATTTCTGGGATTAATTAAAAGTTGTTTGTAGTAAGAGGTGTGATAAGTCTTGTGACTACTGTGATCTCTTTACCAGTTAGTCCTCCAGTATATTCCTTAATAGAAAAGAGATAATAATAGCAAATATAATTAGTGTAGGTTATTCAGTTACTCCCCAGTCTGAAAATCCATCCATAGCAAAATACCAGTTCAATGTAGCTACCTAAGTTACCAAGTTCTCTAGGCGTTATGACAAACGTCCTATTTCCATGAAGAAAACTAAAGCCCCGGAGGCGTCCAAGCAACAGAAACCCCATTATAGCATGCGCTGGCTGCTATGTTAGCCATCATCAACCAGTTAAACATAAGAAAAGGGAAAACGAAGCAAATAAATTAAATACTAAGCCCAGAGCACGAAACCTCTTTGATATGATAGAGATGGTATTAATGTATATTTTCATATAAACATAAATTCACATGAAAATGCATGCCATTTATACAGCCACGATTAAGTATGTTATAGCATCGTCGGTGGCACAGCGGTTAGTACTCTCGCAGACCATGCACATGGCCCGAGGTTCGATCCCCTGCCGATGCACAACTGATATCTATGGTCGGCCTGCAAAATTTGTGCTACCGATATCCATGCTGAAAATTCCATACTGTACCAAAATTACATTGTGGAATCAAGCTGCAATCAAAAATATAAAATTATAAAATGTAAATATAATACCAGTGTCTGATTAGTATTATGCTGTCAAGTATATTTTTATGACACCATACGCCAGATATGTAAAAATAAAAAAATCGTTGATTGTCTACAAGCTAATAATGTTTCAACAGCTAAATATATGATATACATATACACTCATTGTCTCATCCAGACTGTATAATTATTGAATTGCTCAGCAGTCCTCCAGGTTACGCAGGAAAATCGACTTCGTTGCGTTTTCAACCGGTGGTTGTAGCCATACCATAACCAACCAATATTGAGGTAAATACAACATCTACGTGGGATTGAAAGCTGTGCGTCGGTGGCACAGTGGTTAGGATTCTCGCTGACCATGCACATGGTCCGAGGTTCGACCCCTGCCGACGAACACCTGATATCTATGGTCGGCCTGCGAAATTTGGGCTACCGATATCCACGCTGAAGATTCCATTTTTGTACCAAAAATACAGCGTGGAATCAAGCTGTAATCAAAAATAAAATAAATAAATAAATCATTTTAGATAAGAAAAATTGCTAAGGTGAATCAGTAAAGTGTAATGCAATAAGTAAGTACAATATATCAATAATAAATGCATTCATAAAGCCCATACAATGGAAAACCAAATAGTCCCTAGGCTGACAACGTTCATTTGCAATGTATAATGCTACCCATATAGGTCTTACTGTCATGATGTCCACTCTTGGTTTTAATACAGTTATCCTCAAGCCAGTTGTTTTTATTTTCCTACCTTTTTGTATATTTGGTGTACAAGCATCTCTAAGTCATCTTTCTAAGAAAAAGTTAAAATGATAGACCAAGCTCCTAGTGGTATGCCCAACTGGTCTCAAGTGGAAAGCTAATTATATCCGCTTCTAATGTTCTGTCGACTGAAAGTTATAGAAAATCCCTCAAACATCTGCTACAGGCTACATCTAGCAGGCCAAATAAGCCCACAGGACACATTCATTTATCTTATGAATTTAGTGGGAAGCATGTGTCGATGTCTGCACAAAACTTGCTATGGTCTGATGACTACCCCAAACAAATACCATTACTTCATCCCTATTCTGGCAACAAATTACCGAATGCTCATATCGATTATACCTTTCACAATAGCATTGCTCCTACTAGTCGCTTCCAGCAGGATATTCACCAGCTTCAGTTAACAGAAAAACCCGGAATATCATGCGTATACCACGCATGATGTCGGATCAATTCCTTGCTGGCATAGTAAACAATCTGCATCTAGGAGATAGCTGCCACAGTGTCGGCACCAAAGGCGGATACTAATTTCGCTAAAATACTAATATCTGATTATCGCATAGGTTGCCCACTGCATAACCTATCCAAACGACAGACCACACCTGACTACCACCTCATGAACCTACCTGAAGTCATCCCATGATCAAAAGGTATTGGTAAATGAGTCCCAGAGCATGTATACAGAGCATTATCATGGATCATTTTATCAAAATGTTGTCCGCTTACTGAAACCACGTATCCAGTTGTCAATGTAGTTGAAGATTGAACGATCAATTCATGGTTGTTTGCTCAAAACCAACTTCCCCAATTTTTGCGGAGGCATCAATACACCAGTCATCGTCTCATCGGTCGCTGTTCAGAAAGAAGTCAGCAGAAAACCGTCAGAAGTAATATTGTGATTTATTATTTTAATATTTGTTCACAGACCTTTGTTGTAACATTGTTTATATGTTGGTGTTAAAATAAAGAATTCTCGAGTGGCTAATCGGTGTTTCGGTTTTGCCCCTTACAAAGCGTTTCTGAGAAGCTTTGAGGGACGGCGTGAGGCCCAGCGTAGCAAGAGCTGGGCATTGACGGCTTGCGAGAAGTGACTGACAGTTTTCGACAGTGGAAACAGATTCTGAAGGATTCAGACAGTTGGTGAAAGTTTGGATAGTCACCGTTCATCTTCCTGGTGCCGGTCAAGTCCTCTTTGAACAAGCAATATCTGGAACTTTTTGGAATTGGGTCAAGTTCAACAATGCCTGGGTCAAAGAAGGGACAGAGTGTCTTGGATGCAAACAGGAAAGTAAGTCATGGTGACTTGTCTGTTAATTGTAACGATGTGTCTGATGTTAAGCATGACATGGTTGATGTTACTGTTTCGCCGTTCAGGGATAATAGGAACATCAAACTCCCTAAATTTGAACCACGGTGTTTCGATGGAAACCCGGCTGATTATTTACAATTTGTAAAGGAGTTTGAGATCATGTTGAGTAGTTTTTTATAAGTGATGAAATGAAGTTAATGTATTTGATGAGATATTGCACTGGAGATGCTGCAAGAGCTATACAGTGCTGTAAGTTTATGAAGCCAAAAGAGGGCTACTACGAGGCTATGAGCATACTACGTCAAAGGTTTGGAAGACCTTCGATGATTGTAGGGAAATTATTCGAGGCTGTTAAGGGTAATGGTGGTCAATTACAGGATGACTCCCAGGCACTCACTGAGTTTTTAGATAATTTGCTGATTTACAAGAATGCATTGATTTCGATGAATTGCATGAGTGACCTCAACTCGAGTTTTATACTAGAAGTAATAGCAAGACGCCTACCTACTCGACTGCAAAGGAAGTGGGTGAAGATAAGCTCCCGTATGGAGGATGAGGGTATCGAGCCAAAGTTTGATGATATCCTGAAACTGGTAAAAGATAGTGTCAATCAATCTATGAGCAAGTTTGCCAGTATATTGAATCTCACCCCTAGAATAGAGCAGTCTGAGGGAAAACGCAATCATTGATGACGAATAGGCCTCAGAGAGGTGGATATCGAGAAGGCTCCATGATGTCTAGTAATGCATATAGACCTAGTGAGTGTAACAGGTTTCGTAGTACATCCTCAACAGATAAGTTACAAGATGCAAGACAAACACGGTTGTGTTTTACACGTTTGCAAGAGGTGCATACAAAGGTGAACTGTGAACCAGTGAGCAAGTTCAGTGATAAGCTAAATGTAAACTCCAGGCCTGACTCCGAATTGTGTGACGATAACGGTGCGGTGAAGAAGTCTGTAGTTGCAACTGGTAAGCCATTGTTGAATAGAGTGTCACAGAATAGAGTTGCTGCTTCAGAGTGCAGTTCTGACCCACAAGTTTACAAGGTATTACTAGTCAGAGTGAAGGTATAAAACCTTTAGGGATTTGTGAGGAAGAACCAAAATTGTCTACTTCTGTTATTAAAGAGTTTGAAAATGATGAAGTTGATGGTAAATTGAATATTTGTGATAATGATCATGATAGTGCAGATTTGTCTTTGGTTGATCATGATGAGATGAGGGATATGCCTACTACTGCTAAGTTAAAAAAGGTTCTGTACAACTGAACGTGAAGTAGAATTAAATGCAGATGCAGTTGCAGAAGGCATGCATACTTGTGAGACCGTCAGTGTAATTGATCAGCGTGTAGCCCACCTATCATCAGATGCTAGTGCTAAACCTGAGCTGATAGTAAAAGACAGCAGTGGTGGTAATCTTGCAGTTAGACAACTTTCTGAAAGCCGAACAACAACAGCTTCTGATCCACCGCTAACTTCATCAACTGGTATCAATCAGTCGTCGTTGGTGTTGTCATCCACAATGAAACAGACGCCCATCAACTCAAGTATCTTGTGCAATGACTATGATAGTATTGGTGCGTTTGAAAAGACGAAAGATATTGCTCAGTTTAGTGAGGATAAGCCAAGTGTAAACGAGAGAGTAATTGTTAAATTGACTTGCATGAATAAAGGCATTTCTAGTTTCAAGTTACTATTTGAATGCTATTATCTTTGGTGTAAATTACTCTGTTTCTACGCTTGGTTGACCAGATACGTCGTGTGTTTGTTCGTCATCTATATTCTACGATACAATGACATGGCGTGTTACCGTTCAGATTTGAGGATATAGCTGATAGAAGGAAGTCAGCAAATGAACTCTGCGACGATTTTCCAACCTAGGCGTCAACCTGAGAAGGGTTGTAGGCGTACTGCTGTAAGTCCTACAATTCTTCAAAGGGTAGCGCATCAATGAGCAGTCCAATGTGCTTGGTGTGTGATTTTGTACATATGTTCATATTGTATATACTGAATTGATATCATCTGTCATCTAGCTGTTGGTAATTCTGTTTGTGTCCGGACGACTTCCACTTGGATCATCAACCTGAGAAGGAATGTAGGCGTACTGCTGTAAGTCCTACAGTTCTTCAAGGGTAGTTTGTCATGCCAGAATCCACAACATTTGATGTGTTGATTGTACATATGTTTGTGTTAAATAATTGTGTGAGTTCCAATTATTGTAATTGTTGGTTAATCTTGTTTGTGTCCGGACATTCCACAACTTACAATCGTCAACCTGTGAAGGGTTGTAGGCGTACTGGTGTAAGTCCTGCAATTCTTCAAAGGAATTCCATCAAGACATGATCCGCGAGTTTGTGTGTACTGTTTGTATATATGTGTGGTGTGTCATATCAATTGGTGTTTTTGGATTCATTGTGTTTACTCGTTGTTTTCGTACCTTGTTGTTATTGCATAATTTTGTTAAAATTTTCGTCGTGATTACTTCTGAAGTTGTTTCGAGTCTTCTACATCCGTGAATGAATTGATTGATGTTAGAGACAGCAGATGGGTCGTATACGCCGGGGAGGCAGGCTATTGCTGAGAATGAAATGCATACGGAGATAATTGTTAGCTGCGGTCCGACACGCCGGGGAGAAAGAGTGTAAACGACTGAGGCTCGCATACGTCACCGTTACTAGAACTGAGGCAGAATGAGTGACAAGCGATTTCAGTGGTAATTGGTAGTGAGTAGATAAGAGGATGTGCGTAGAGTATCGTGAGGTGCTGCTATGGTCACGTTGCATTCTGCAAGAGTCATTCTAGCAAGTGGCGATTGTGTTGCAAGATGTCAAGAGGAGGCCTCTATCTGGAGGCGCAGGTCGTCATCGATGTGTGAGATTGTGCTGTGGGTATGCTTGTGGTGTGTTGGCTTTTCTGTTTGTTTTCCATTTCAGCTCTGTCCGTGTGACCCAGGTTCTCGCAATGGCATCCAAGTCAACGTGTATTGGTCGTGATGGAAAAAAGGGATGGATCCCTTTTTTGCCGGGGAGTGTCAATGTAGTTGAAGATTGAACGATCAATTCATGGTTGTTTGCTCAAAATCCACTTCCCCAATTTTCGCGGAGGCATCAATACGACAGTCATCGTCTCATCGGTCGCTGTTCAGAAAGAAGTCAGCAGAAAACCGTCAGAAGTAATATTGTGATTTATTATTGTAATATTTGTTCACAGACCTTTGTTGTAACATTGTTTATATGTTGGTGTTACAATAAAGAATTCTCGAGTGGCCAATTGGTGTTTTGGTTTTTGCGTCCGTTATTACTAAGCGTTTCTGAGAAACTTCAAGGAACAGCGTGAGCCCGAGTGCAGCAAGAGCTGGGCATTAGGAGTTTATGAGACGTGGCTGACAAGAGGGTCGTGCATTCCTTGCCACCTAGATTATTTTGGCTACATTGCACAATGCATTGATAATGGACGTTGAGTGACAACATTATTTCTCGACGTTTGCATAGCCTCTGATAATGTCCCACATATCGGGCTCCTAGCATTACTGCAATCCTACGGAATAACTGGAAAGCTTCTCAAGTGGATAAACTCTTTTCTCACTGAAAGAGAGCAATTAGGCAAAATCAGTCACCAGTTGTCTCCATCAAAGCCGATAACTAGTGGTGTAATACAAGTCAGCCCTCTTGACCCTATTCTATTCCTCTTGTTTGTAAATGACATAGTCTCTGTGATCGAGTATGGCAGGCTATACCTCCTTGCAGATGATCACAAGGTAGTCAATGCTTATGGATACGAGGATATGAGCGTTCAAAGCAAACCACGACACGAATTAAGCAGTCCAGGTGATTGGAGAGAAAAGTGGCAACTGACTTTCAACCCAGACAAGTGCCTACCTCAGACGCTGGAAACCGAGATTGTACGGTAAGCTACTCTCGAAACTGAACGCAGTCACAGATCTCGATATAACATACTCAGATTTAAGCTTTTCCGATCATGTAAATAAGGTAGTATCTGACTGTAAACGACCCACTGGCTTTGTAATGCATAATTTTTACACCTAAGAAGCAAGATTAGCTGTATAAGACATGCATCCGCACCCACTTGTTGGTCAAACCCTGTTATACGTTTCGTGAGGAATCTCTGGATACTTTCGACTTTTCTTCGGTCTTCAGACCTTGGGTTACTAAATAGGAGAGCACAATATTCTTGGGTGTAAAAGTTACACAGTACAAAGCTAGTGAGTCAGATACTACTGTCAGCCATAGCAGAGGAAAACCAAACGACCTCATAACGACCTTGACAAATCTCTATCGTCCAATCAGACGCGCGTCCGAGGCTGAAGTGCGTAATTTGAAGACGTTCATACATAGGTACCATTAACAGTAGTTCCACAGAGTAATTCCTTTCTATGTGCTCTGAAAAAAGCTTCTGATTTCTCATAGGAGTCCGCCTATTTAGGATAAAGCGATTTCGGTGCTTAAACTCGTCGGGATAACCCTATATCATCGTTTTTCATGAATTATTCACCGTTCCGACTATCTTTTTTGGGTGACTGTAGAAAATTTCAGTGTAATTTGCGTATGTTCCATTGATAAGATTCTCGAGAATCTAAATCCAACAAATGTAGCTAACTGTCATCCGTAGTCTATATCAATGACGTCATCAATAACACGGATGGTGTCCTTAATCCTCTGAGGTCTGAGATCTCAGAGTGAGACTTCCTACCTGATTCAGATTATAAGCATAGAAGGCTCTTGTTGCCTATGTTAATCCTCGCGATATATATCTTTGCAGAGATCCAGTTTCTTTGAAGTCGCTCACCGATAGAGCTGTTACTACTGTATCAGGTAAGGAGTTCCAGTCGTCGATCACTCTGTGGGAGAATGTAATTTCCATACGTGTTTTATTTGACCTCGGTTTGATTACCTTCTTGTATTGACCTCGTCAATGTATCCCAGAGGGATATATATGCCCAAACCAAGTTCACTTTTAACTGTTTGAATAAATTTGGGCATTGGGTATATGATATTCATTATAATAAAGTCCTTTTGTGTATTTCCCAATGAATGAGAAACAGAACGATATTGTTTTTACTGACGTTTCGCTATTTAATGCCAATAGCTTTCTCAAACTATTATTAGACCGGAATTTACAAATCTCAGCATATATATAACAAAGAGTTAGGGGGTGAGAAAAATATAGATTTACTTCAACTTAAAAGGACATATTGAAAGTCAAAATAACAATGAAGATCGTTCAAACCAAATATCGAAGGTAATAGTATATCTGTTATTATATCAAAATAAAGTTTACTAACTTGATCATCGTTCGTTAGTCTGGGTTGTTTTTTTGTTGTCAAGTTGGCGAATGGGTAAAGATAACAAAGTCAAGTGTAGATTGTTGGATTTTATCAGTGTGTAATAGTGTGTGTTTACATAGTGAATTTGCTCATCACATTTGCGTTGATTTTGTTACTTCATGGGTGAGGGTGTTGTAGCCAGGTCAGATTGTTTCAGTCCATCATTCCTATTCAGGCAATTTGGATTCTACTTGATATGAAGTGCTCCTGATATTAGACGTTCTTTGTGGTTTCTGAAGTTTTTCTGGATTATTTCAATATTGTCGAAATCAATTTTGTGGCCTCATTCTATAGCGTGTAGACAGCCTATGGCTGGGTGATGATTTTTCAAGCTTTTCTAGTTCAACTGGATTTCTTGGTGGTCGAAGAGATGCTCTACGGTGTTCATTTCTTCTGATTTTTTTTCTCGAGATGTTTGTCCGATGTAGATCTCATCATATTCCGAGCACTTTATTTTATAGACACAATTATTATTTTCATTTTATTTATTTTTTATTTTTGATTACAGCTTGATTCCACACTGTATTTTCGGTACAGTATGGAATTTTCAGCATGGATATCGGTAGCCCAAATTTTGCAGGCCAACCATAGGTATCAGGTGTGCATCGGCAGGGGATCGAACCCCTGACCATGTGCATGGTCTGCGAGGGTACTAACCACTGTGCCGCCGACGCAGCGAATCTTTCGGGATTTGGTCTTTTATATGGACAAGGTTGCTTTGAAGTGTGTCTGATGTTTTGAAGAAAACTCTAATGTCGAGCTGATTGAGTACTCTTCTGATATCGTCTGACGTCTCTGCTCTATGTAGAATGACGACTGTTGATGTTCATGTTTTCGGAATGCATTTTCGGCCATACTTGATGTCTGTATTAATTTTGTTGATGAAGTTCCTTGGGTAGTTGTTTTGCTTGAGAGTTTCAGTAATGTTTGATATTTTTTCTCCTTTTTCCTGCTCATCCGTTATCAGAGAGTGTGCTCGTCTAAAAAGACTTGAAACAACTGATCGCTTTGCGCTGATAGGGTGTGATGATTTAATGTCTAAATATTTATTGGAGTGGGTTTCCTTCCTGAATATGGATATACTAAAATGTCCGTTTTCTTTTCTCTTAACTAGGCAGTCTAGAAATGGTAGTTCACCAATGCATGATTCTGCTGCCGAAGTGAACTGGATTTTGGGAGATACACAGTTTATTTTCTCCAGGAATGAATTGTGTAGATCTCGCTTTAGTACTACAAAAGTATCATCCACATATCTTAACCATATTTTAGGAGTGAGTATGCTTGAAAAGATATTATTTTCGAATTTATTCATGTAAAGGTCGGCGACTATTGGGGAGACTGGTGAACCCATAGCAACACCATCTGTCTGTCTATATAAACTCCCTTTAAATGTAAAATAATAACTTTCTAGACAGACTTTTAAGCTCTTAATTATTTCACTGATGTCCAGAGGCCATCTTTGTGATAGTGTTGTATCTGATTCTAGTAGACTGTAAATGATATCAAGACTTTCGGTAATAGGGATACTAGTATATAATGAGTTAATATCATAGCTTACCATATTGTCTTCTTTATCAATTTCTCGGTGTTCTATTTGGGATTTGAAATCATTTAAATTTCTTACAATATTTTGAGTGTCCTTTTGTAGTGGTTGTAGTATCGAGAGTAAGTATTTAGAAAGGTTGTATGTCGGTGAGTTGGTGAAATCTGTTACTGGTCTTAATGGAACTGTGGGTTTATGTATCTTTGGTTAACCGTAGAATCTTGAAGGTATATAAGATTTTGGTTTTATTGTAAACCAGAGCGAATTTCCAATTTTGGGTTTCACTTCTTGAAGCAGTCTGTTTGTATTTAGTCTCATTTTGTTGAATTTGGTGGATTTCTTCTCTTCAATGCGTAAGTATGGTCCTTCAGATAGGTGTTCAATCGCCTTCTTTTCATAATCCGTTCTGTTCATTATTACAGTGACGTTTCCCTCATTGGCTTTCGTTATCCAGATGCTTTTGTCTTTCTTCAAATTTTTTAGTACTTCTTAGTATCCTAGAGGGAGAGAAAAGGTTAGAAAGGTCAATCCCCAAATCACCCTTGAATATTACACCAATTCAAAATTAACTCATCTCTCCTCCTTCGGTATGATAATGGAAAAAGATTTAAATGCTCCATCCTCTTATCATAAGGAAAGTATCAGATGTTACTAATTTCGTTCTTAACCTCGGTACTTTTTTCAGGATATATGCCTCCTTCTTGAAACATGGCCTCCCCGCTTGCATGCAGTACTCTAGATGAGGTCTGACATGTTGCATAGAGTACTTGGAACATACCCCGTCTAATAATTTGAAAGCCCTTCTAAGTGCCCATAGCATTCGAAAAGCCTTAGCTGCGGCTCGACTACAGTTTGCCGTTGTTTTTAAGTCATGGCTTACAATAATTCCTAAATCCTTCCGTCCCCTAACATCTAGCAGTTCTGTGTCCCTCAGGGAGTACAACGTGTAAGACTTCAACCTAGGTGCATTACCGCGCTTTTCTTGGAATTAATATCCAGACTCCAAAAGTTAGCCCATTCGGCTAATTTATCTAGATCGTTTTGTAATACCAACCTATCATCGTTACTGTTTACGGTCTTCCATATATTAATATCGTTCGCAAATAGTAAGGAAGATGAGTTAAAAATTTTTGGCACTTCATTTACGTATAATAGGAATAGCAGGGGGCCAGGTACAGTTCCCTGAGGTACTCCACTTAGTACTGTTTTCCACCCTGAGATTGCACCCATTAACCTTTACCTTCTGTCTTCTATCTATCAGGTAGTCACTAAACCACTCACATAAGCGTTGGTCTAATCCAAAACGTTTAAGTTTACTAAGAAGACCTAAATGGGATGCCTTATCAAATGCTTCACTAAGATGAATAAAGACAACGTCCAGCAGATCATTCTTATCACTGGCCTTGACCCAATCTTTCCTAGCTAACAGTAAGTTTGTCAAGCAGGATCGTCGTGGTCGGAATCCATACTGTTCCAGTGCCAGTAAGCCATGTTTTTCCATATGAGGTAAGAGCTGATCCCTTATGAGTTTTTCTAACACTTTTGCTATAATGCAGGTCAGACTTACAGGCCGGTAGTTAGATACTAACTGCTTGTTCCCATCTTTGAAGATGGGGCTTATAAAAGCATCTTTCCAGTCCGTGGGTAGCCTAGCCTGGGCCAGAGACATATGAAAAAATCTCCGTAAGTGGAATGTATATTATATCCGCCAAGGAGATTAGCGACCTAGGGTGAAGTCCGTCTGGTCCAGGTGATTTACTTGGCTTCAGCTTAGAAAGTAGTTTGAGAACCACTGCATCCTCTGCCACAATTGTGGGTATTTTAGTGACCTTGCTACACCCATGAGTGGTACGATTAGGCGAGAAAACATCGCAAAAGTATTCGGAGAGATTCTCAGCTTTTGTTTCGTCTGACTCGGCAGCCTCTCCAGTGTTGCTAATGAGGGATTGTATGCCACTGCTAGTTTTAGTCCTGCGTTTGATATACGAGTACAGTCTTCTTGGATAATGCAAACAATCCAGTACTAACTGTCTCTCATACTGTATATGACTTTTGTCAATCTTAGACTTACAAAGGTTTCGAATTTTGCGGTATTCCATCCAAAACTCATCCCTCCCAGTCACAGCAAACCGGTCCCATAAGTTCTTTCTTTTTCTTAACAACCTTATTTCATTACAAATCCAAGGTGGTTTATGCGATAGTTTTTCGAGGCGTAGACCAAGGTACGAAGGGTGCAGTGATGCAATCTAGTGTATTCCTAAATTCCATCCAAGCCTCCTCGACAGTCTGGTGTGTATTAACAGACCAGTCAGCTAAGGTTGCTGCATTTCGGATTGCAGGTATATTCGCTTTCCAAACGTTTGGGCGATCAGCTGTTGACCTATGTATAACAGCGTGGATTCTAAACATAAAAGTGACAACTATATGGTCACTAATGCCTAGTGGCACCTAATATCACCGACATCCTCCTTCTCGTGTGTTAGCACCAAGTCCAGAGTGAACGGATCATGTTCAGTGTGGTAGTAATAGTCCCATGGGTGGACTCTTTCAAAGAGAAATTAGATCTCTGCAGAGATATATGTATATCTCAAGGATTAACATAAGCAACGAGAGCCTATTATCCTTATGATCTGAAACTGTTCTTCCTTTCAGTGAGCCTATGGTCTAAGCAGTACTTAAATACTAGATTTGGGCCAAATTTGGTTGCCTATGTAACAACCTGTTCTTGAGAAACAGCAGTTGAAATTCTGGTACCAATCATTGCATTACCTTGCACATATATTTGTCTCCATAGCTTATGTCTTTAATGTATAATTGTTGTTTTGAGCAGTCCTAGTGGGAATCATGCTGTAGTTCCCCTAAAAGGTCCACCTCGTTCTAATTACTCAGTATCTTTGGGTTCTGTTCTTTTTCTAACTTAATACAAACCAGCTAATTTTAATATT